ATGATTTTAAACTGTAGCTTTAAAGGACTGCCTCTACTTCCTGTGTAGTATTTACGTAATAAAGTATCATAATGTTTGTTCCTCGGTCACTGCTCTGATAAAGATTTCTTTATACCATCTTATAGTATTGTAAGACAGTGCTGTTCATTACTTGTCTCGTGAAAAGCAGCTTGATAATAATATTTGACTGAATAATTGAAACTTGCTCTGACGTCTTCTTGTAACATGGTATCTTAGTGCACGGTGGAGTGTTTGTTTTGTTAAAAAAGTGTTTGTGTTCAAACCACTTGATGAGACCATAGGATGAAACGTTGAAAAATAAAATAATTTTCACCGGGTACTGGCTGTTGATTTATATTAAACATCTTCGTGTATTCTCATCACCTATCATATACAAATATTACTATAAACGTATTGAAAGTAAAGGTGATAATTACAACAACTCCTGGTTTGTCAGAACTTTATAGATTCTGAACTAAATGATGCCATACATTAGTGACGAGCAAACATTCCTTTTTTGTTTTGTAACTTTTATGTTAATTTTTACATCTAACCTACCAGTTACATATGATGTATTTTAAGGAATTTGTAAACCATAATTTTGTAGCATTTTAAGTCTAGAATTTTCTACTCCTGAAGATGATGCAGTGATATACGTCGAAATATATAGAGTGTACGAGATTGTTTTTCAGTTTATCTTTTTTTACTACCTTTTATCCTGTATCTATCGCCCCCAGTAGCACAGCGGACTTACAACGCTAGAAACCGGGTTTCGATACCCGTGGTGGCCAGAGCACAGCTAGCCCATTGTGTAGGTGTGTGCATAAATACAAATAAACTGTAGAGTAAGTTATTTGTATTGTACTATAATTTTGAAACTGAAAATAATTTCATTTTTATTACTGTGTATAAAATAATCGTTGATTTAACAAAAAATTGTGAGTTTTTTAATGTTATCTGTGTAATTACTTTTCCTGGATTATTAATTCGTCAATATATATGTGTGTTAAGGGAAAACATTTCCTGATTTGAAAAAAATATTTATGCATTTATTAGCGTAATAATAAAGATATAAATTGGCAACACAGTTAATATAATTAGTCCCCATTATTTTATCTATAATTTGTTTGTAAATGTACTTATCAAAATACATATAATTATTATATACAAAGAAATTAAAAATGTTTTTACTCTTATTAGTAGTAAAAGTTTTTTCTCTGTTTCAATGGGTAGATCTATAAGTTCGTCTATTAACGAATATACCACTATTACCAAATCATTAAGTGGTATATTTGTAAAGAACGTAGTAAAACCATATGTTTGAATTATATCTATTAATAGTGTTTTATTTAAACTTTCTAAAGTTTTAACACAAATTGATTATTTTTAAATATTTTGAAATCTTGTTTATTACTTTTATTTTGTTGTAACTTAACAAATAACTGATTTGGTAATTTACTTAATAAAATTGCAGGTTGTTTCAGTGTAGTAGTTACTGAACTAGAAATTTAGGTATCGCATATAAATATGGTAATTCTGAATATGGATATTGTTTTAACATCATTTTTTTAGAGCTTTTAACATGTTTTCGATATCTTCTTTAGACTTATTTTACAATTTAACAGTTTGTTTAGTATCTATCTAATTAGTTATAATTTGGGCATAAAAACGTTTACAGATAAATTTACTGTTGGCCTTATCGATAAATACAATAACATATTTCTTTTGTATTTTACGGATTTTAGCTTTAAATTGAAAAAAAAATATGTTAAATATATTGGATATTTAGTTAAATAAATAAAAGCCAACTTTTCTTTAATTATATTAATAACATAATATCTCTATTTTAAAAACCAATTCAGAGGATAATGCGTAGAATAATTAAGTATCCAAATATAATTATCTGCATTTTTCTTAATCGAATTTAGAATATCCACTTGCTTACATTTTGTAGCTATTCTGTATTTAGCACCTTTTTCTATGACTTCCCTTAAATAATTGTGTTTATATTAAAATTTCCTGTAATAATATGCTTATGAAAAAATGTGTTAAAGAATTTAAATAGCATTCACCTGGTAAATTCTCCACATTATCAATATCTAATAATCTAATTATAAGTCTTTATAATTATATATAATCGGTTCTATTGGAATCTCATATATAAACCTATAATAGGTTTTAAATGTTTTAAAGGAATAATATTTTATATTACAGAATCATGCAAAATTTTTGAAGCTTGTAAATAATTAACAATTTTATGTTTCAATTTAGCGTGATTATTTTGAAAATTAAATGTCGTTACAGTTTTTACTGATACTTTTAACTTTGAAGTGTTGAGTTTATTTATAATCTTGTAGAAATGACTACGAATTTTAGCAAGAATATAAAATTTATTATCTAAATCTTCACAGAAATCAATAAAATTAACCTATTTTATTTTAATTTGATCTTTTCCTCTAGTTTTACATTTTATAGATTTCTAGATAATCCTATCCAAGCAAAAGTAATTACCAATATAATTACTATTACTTAAGCTTATAGCAGTAGAAACATTATAATCTTAATTTAAACTATAAGGATATAAATTTTTATATTTAACTATTTTGTAATCTATTTATATATGTATTAACGAATCAAAACGAATTGAATTATGAAATGTTCTAATTCAACGGTATTTTTACTTTAAGATCTTTTTAGGTTCATGCGAATATGTAGATGATTAGAAGTTTGTCCCACATATTGCATATTACATATGCCACATGTTAATAATGTAATGGAAATAATTGGAATTAGTTATTGTAGACAGTGTATTATTATTATTTTTTGTTATTTTATATTTTTGTTTTATTTTTTTCTCGTGAGAAACCACCTTCCCACATCTGGCTACAGACAGCGAAATATGGTAAAGATGTGGGATGTTGTGGGCTAGAGCATCCACATATTTTTTTTTTTCTGAATCA